GTGTCTCTCTGAGCCTGCCTGGGACTGGCTTGTAGGAAAGCTTGGTTTCCTAGGTGTGTCTGCAATGCTCTTACTGAAACAAAAAAAACAAACAAAAAAAACCCAAGCCCCCCAAAAAAACCCCAAAAGCAGAGCAGAGACCTGGGCACACTGCTGTCTGGCAACTCTTGGGTGGTGTTTGCTTCCATATGGCTCTTGACTCGTAGCTAAAATACACCAGACCCCCCAAGTGTTCCCATCCTGGGGGAAATCTGGACGTGAATGTTTTAAACCCATAATCGATTTGGCTACAAGACAGTGAGGTCTTTGAGGAAAGCAGGAGATTGAAGCCTTAACTCCTGCAGGTCTTGCTTTTAGCAGTGCTCCAAAACTCAAAGCTCCTGTGGCCCTCCAAGACATGATAAAGCAGGTACCATTTCAGTAAGCTCTGTGCCTTACAGCTCCTGGACTCTTAATAAAACATCCAGCAGTGACCACGGAGATGGCAGGAATTTTCCTTTTCCCTTTAAACACAGTTCGGCTGGTTTTAGACTGATGCTTGCGTGTGAGAAAGGAGCGAATGCTGTATCAAAGCGGCAATGGTTCCTGCTCCTCTTTCATTGAGAACTTTTCATCATCAAAAGTGTCAATTATCCAATGCTCTTTTGAGCAGTGTCATTAGAACGCTGTAATTAAACTGCGTTGGAAATAATTCAGGGCGAACTTAATTGAAAGGGGCGATATTTCCAACTTGGCCTTGTGACTTTGTCATGCTTTAAAAATGTTTAGCACATTAGTATTTCTAATTAGTTTCGTTACTGTTTGGATCTTTGGAGGTTTGCCCTGAGGTTTTCCTCTCTAACATGTTCTTGAGGAGTTTGCTGGCCCCTGGGATTTTTCGGTTTGCCATTCATCCAGCGCTTTCCTACCCAATGGTGAATGTCTTCCTCTTTTCCCAGGTGGAACTGCATTGTGACCACCCATGGTCCCCCTCCCATGGCAGGACACTCCTCCTGCGTCATTGAAGACAAAATGATCGTCTTCGGGGGTTCGTTAGGATCGCGGCAAATGTAAGCTTGGGGTGAGGGTGTTTGACAAGCGCTCCTGCAAGCGAGGAGCATGTTGTGGTAGACCTGGAGTAGCTCATAGGGTTTCAGAAGGAAATCTCCGTAGGATTTGGGGGTCTGCCTGCTGCCTTAGGACGCCCTTCGCCTCTCATGGCAAATCCCCTCGAGGCTCCAGCCCACAAAAAACCCAGTTCTGCCATAAAACTCTGCCCTGAACCCATGTTTCAGACACCCACAGGGCCTGGTTTGTATCATCAATGCTGCTTGTCTCATCCTTGCAGGAGCAATGACGTCTGGGTGCTGGATCTTGAGCAGTGGGCTTGGTCCAAGCCCAACATCTCTGGGCCCAGCCCTCACCCACGAGGTGGCCAGTCTCAGGTGAGCTCCCCTTCCCTAGCTCAGCACCAACATATGCTGCTAAAGATAAACCAGACACGGCTTAATTTCCAGCTTCCAGGCAGCTCTCTGCAGGTCGCCTGAAAGCTAGTGCCCAATTTCCAAGTTATCTTTGCCCGACGGCCCTTGTTTTCTTTAGCCATCTGTTCTGTGAGGGTGCACTTTTAATCTCCCTTACGCTCAGGCAGGTACTGTGCCATGTCTTGCACATGACTCAGAACTCTAATGAGCATTTCTAGAAAACAAATTGCTGTTTGCACCCAGCCATCATCCCCTATGGCATTTAAGATCAATGAAGTGTTATCACAAGTTGGTTTGGCTCGGGGCCCTTTTGATTGCTCCGCTCTCCTGATTCTTGGTTTGAGCGACTCTGGTTTGTACCTGCTCAAAGCACGAGGCTGGTAGCGCCTGTTTTATTGCCTGCCTGGGGCAGGGAGCTTGTGGGAGCCACCTGGCTTGACACAGGCATCTCCATCACAGCTGGCATCCCTGCCTTCCCTTTATGGTCCCCAGCAGGACAGTCAGCGGTACCCCAGATCACCCCAGCCTAGCAGGGAACCCAAAGGAGATTGGATGGGTCTTGCTTGAACGTGCCTTTCTCTCTGTCCACTGGAAAAGGAGACAAAGGGACCAACTCGCCCACCGCCAGCATCTAACAAATATTGCTCCAAGCATATGCCCTCCCAGACAATCCTTCCACCTTCACCTCTTTACTGAAGAGGGGTGTCGAGTCCCTTGCCCTTTGGCTCAGCTTCAGGCAGGGTTAATTGCTTGCCTGTGTAAGAGGAACGGGTTTGTGAGCCGTTTGGGACAAGGCAGTGGGGTGAACCCTGCATCTCGCTTTGCCTCGGGCCCAACAAAACCGGCTCTCCATCCCAGCTCCACTCCTCATCCCGGGGCGGACAAAATTCCGCAGCGTCTGCGCAGCTGAGAAGCCGTAACCTGGCTCTGCCTGCACTTGGAGGCTTTGCCGAAAGCGATGGGGATGGCTTCATGTCCTTCCTGGTCTGAAACGCTGTTCTTTGTCCCCTCCAGATCGTGATAGACAACGAAACCATTTTAATCCTCGGTGGCTGTGGTGGTCCCAATGCAGTAAGTATACTGGGGGTAGCGTGGGCATGAACTGCATGCATCTTGCTGTAACTGAGTGCTGGATTGGGGAAAGGGGGCACTCTGTATGTTACCTGTGTGCCATTTTATCCTGCAAATCTGGGCACCCACACGGTAAATTTTCCAGAGAAGCTGTCTAGCTATTGCTAGAGCTGCTTTAATTAAGAAAAAAACACCCCAGGCACTATCTGAGCAGCTCACTGAGGTTAATTGAGCCTCGGAAGAATTAGCCCTGATTTTATACTGGAGTAGGAGATGGAGATGAAGGGATTTGTCCATGGCCATAGTAGGGTGTAGTCGCTCCTGGGCGGTCAGATCCTGATCTGGGTCACCATTCCTCTTGTCTGCAGCAGCAAAGCACTGCTCCTACCTCTGATGAGATGATCTCAGCAGCAAACCAGGCTCCGAAATCTCAAACTGGGCCCCTAAATTTGTCACGCTTTTCTTCACAGCTGTTTAAAGATGCCTGGTTACTGCACATGCACGCGAACCCCTGGACGTGGCAGCCCCTCAAGGTGGAGAACGAAGACCACGGAGCCCCGGAGCTGTGGTGCCATCCAGCCTGCAGGGTACGGATGCAGTGGGGTCTTTGCTCTCTCACATACATCCGTTGATCTTTATCGCCTGCCCCAAATGCTCCATTCCCCCCCTATTTTTTCCCCAATACAGTGCAAAGGGTCGCCCTGCAGTTTGTAACCTGTCTGTCTCCCCTTCTCCTCTTTCAGGTGGGACAGTGCGTTGTGGTCTTTAGCCAAGCTCCCAGTGGGAGAGCCCCACTCAGTCCCAGCTTGAACTCTCGCCCCTCTCCCATCAGCGCCACGCCGCCCGCCCTGGTCCCCGAAACGCGGGAATACCGCTCTCAATCTCCTGTCAGGAACACGGACGAGGCTCCCTGCGTCAATGGCCGCTGGGGCACCTTGCGACCCAGAGCACAGAGGCAAACCCCTTCGGGATCCCGGGAAGGCAGCCTCTCCCCAGCCAGAGGGGACAGTTCCCCTGTACTCAACGGTGGGAGTTTATCTCCCGGAGCCACGGTGGCCGGGGGTGCCTCCTTGGACAGCCCTGTGCAGCTCGTATCGCCCAGCACGCCTTCTGCGGCTGAAGGATATGACCTGAAAGTGGGGCTTGCCCTGGCCCCACGACGGGGATCACTGCCGGAACAGAAAGACCTGCGTTTGGGATCCGTCGACCTGAGCTGGGACCAGAAACCGGCTTCCATCATCTGCCAGATGGATGGTGTGGAGGGCAGGACAGTCGGTGTGAGCGTGAGGAACCCCCCTGAGCAGACCAACGGCATTCACACGCCGCCCCACGTCACCAGCTCCCTCCCGGGGGCCGTCTCCCCCGGCGCTCTCCGGAGGAGCTTGGAGGCCGTCAAAGCCCTCTCTTCCAAAGGCTCCTCAGCTTCTGCAGCGCTGAGCCCTCCCCTGGCTTCTTCCCCGGGGTCCCCAGGTGCTGAGACGGGCTCGGCGGCACGTCCGGGCTCTACCCAAGGCGACGGCCATTCCTTACCTCCCATCGCCCGCCGCCTGGGCCACCACCCTCCCCAGTCCCTCAACGTGGGGAAGCCTTTATACCAGAGCATGAACTGCAAACCCATGCAGATGTACGTGCTGGACATTAAAGACACCAAGGAAAAAGGACGAGTCAAATGGAAAGTGTTCAACAGCAGTTCGGTCGTGGGGCCACCTGAAACCAGTTTACACACAGTGGTGCAAGGCAGAGGGGAATTAATCATATTCGGTGGCCTCATGGACAAGAAACAAAACGTGAAATACTATCCCAAAACAAATGCCTTGTACTTTGTGCGAGCAAAAAGATAATGCGGCCCGAGCCCTTCGCCGCCATCACCTTCTCCCCTCCCTCCCCATGGCTCTTCCCTCTCCTTCCCAAGCCCTTACTCTGTCACGCAGGCGTTCAAACTGTGAATTAGGGAGCAAGAAACCAATAAAGTCCAAGCAAAACCTCCAGCGCTGCCCCGCCGGTTCCCAGTAAGACCCCAGTAAAGCAAATGGTGTTTACGGGCAGGGAAGGACCTGTGCCCCTGCCATCCAAGCCAAGGATTTGGGGTGAGCAGGTAGGGAAATCTGCCATCCAGTATACTCTTGAGATTGGTTTTATTTTCCAGGGGTCTTGAGAGGCTTCGTATCTCTCTGAAATTCCTCATGGGATGTGAGTAAAAGCGGTTTTATATGAAAAAACCCAAATACTGGCAGGGAAGGGGCTGTTAGCTTGCGCGCACTGATTATTTCCATGCTTGACTCCGTAAGGAAAACAACAGCAATACCCCACCAGGAATCTTCCAGTGCTGTTTTTTTTTTTTTTTTTTTTTGCCTCTCACCCCTTTGGCCTGCTGCTCTTGTTCCTGTCCTCCATACAGGACTGTAAGAACGAAGGAAGGCGAGAGATTTGGATCAAAATGCCAAAAATATTAAGAATTAGCCGGGTGTTAGCATCCTCCCCTCCCTGCCCTGTGCTCGATCGAGCTGGATCAGGCTTCAGGAAGGCTCCTGATCAGCACAAAACCCACAACACTTACTCTAAAAATCCCGTTTTTCCCCCAAAGCTGAGAAATTTGGCTGCCCATTCCCTTCTAGACTTGAAGGTTTTGTTTCACTCAACAGCCCACACCTGTTCAAGGCTGAACCAGCACCTTGTAGCCTGGGAACAGGTTTTCTTGCCAGCCAAAAGGCTGAATTTTGGTAAATTTGAGGGCGTGAGCAGCCCTGGTAGCAGTAACTGCATCTCATCCTTCTGCAAAGATTAAAACAAAATCCGAAGGGATTGAACCTGTGTGTCCTTCTGGGACAAACTCCCTCCTTCCCTTTCCCCTGGAGATGATGGGGGGAGGGGA